TGTTATTGTCCAGGTTTCACACCCGTACAGGGCAATGCTCCATACATACGTCTTTAACATATTCTTTCTTATTTTCAGACTCATGCTTCTTGATGTAAATATATTTTTCTTTTTGTTAAAGGCTATTTTGGCTTGACAGATACGTTTTATAATTTCAATTCTGTTTCTTCCATCCTTGCTGATTGTGCTTCCCAGGTATGTAAACTCATCTACTTGTTCTATTGTTTGATTTCGTATTTTTATCTGTATTTTTGTATTATTTTCCCTTTCACATACCAGTACTTTTGTCTTCTTCATATTTATTCTCAATTCCAGTTCTTTTCCAAATGTTTTATCCATAGCATTAATTAGTTGAGCCAGATCTTTCTTGCTGTCCGCAATTAAAGCTATGTCATCAGCAAAACGTAGCATACTTATTTTTTTGTCCGTTAATCGTAATCCCTGGCTTGGCATTTTCGTTTATCATATCTACTGCTTCTTGGATATATGCGTTGAATATAATTGGAGATAATGTACAACCTTGTCTCACTCCTCTGTTTATTTTTACTTCCTCTTCTGCATCTTGGATCCTTATAACTGCGAGTTCATCTTTGTATAGGTTATACAGAAGTTTCCTATCTGTGTATTTTATCCCTAATCTTTTCATCATTTTAAACATGACCTTCCAGTTCACGTTATCAAAAGCTTTTTCGATATCCACAAAAGCTATAAACGTTTGTTTATCTTTTCTAATCCTTTTTTGAATGATTATCCTTAACGCCAGTATTGCTTCCCTTGTTCCCATATTCCTTCTGAACCCAAACTGGTCTTCTGTCAGCGATTGTTCTATCTTCCCTTCGATACGTTTGAAGATAATCTTTGTTAGTATTTTAGAGGCATGGGATAGCAAACTTATAGTACGGTATTCTTCGCATTTCTTTGCTGCTGTTTTCTTTGGTATGGGGATAATAAGGCTCTTAACGTAATCTTCCGGTAATTCACCTGTTTCGTATATGACTTTGATAATTTGAAATAATTCCCTTTTAACTTTTTCTCCCGCCTCCTTCCAAAGCTCCGCTTGTATTCCATCGATTCCTGCTGCTTTTTTATTCTTCAGGCTCCGTAAAGCTTTATCGAACTCTTCTCTCATAATTGGGTCTATTTCGTCATCTTCGTCACCTTCTTCAGATTTATCTTCTTCGATTGATTCGATGGTTTCATTTTCCCTAAGTGTTTCCCCCTTGTATAGGATTTCTAGATATTCTTTCCATCTTTTCGCTACATCATTTTGTTCGTATAGCATTCTTCCGTTGTTATCTTCTATTCCCCCTGCTCGAGGTTTATGCTGACCAAAAAACATTTTCACCGTTCTATATGCTTCGTCACTACTTCCTGTCTTCATGAGGGTTTCTATTTCACTACACTTTTCTTCTAAATACTTTTCTTTTGCTTCCCTTGATTTCCTAATAATTAGATTCCTCAGTGCTCTGTATTTTTTCCTGCCCATCTATACTGCTCGAACTCTTGTATTTCCTTCTTTCCTCTATCATGTTGACTATTTCCATTGTAATCCATTCCTTCCTCGCTGTATTGTTGCCATTTCCTAGAGTTTTCGTTGCAGCCAATGTAATTGTGTCTTTCAAGTTCTGCCATCTTTCTTTAATATTTTGGGATTCTTCAATAATTATACCATTAGTGTCTTCATTATATTTTTTTGCTTATTTCTCTATTTCTCAGATTTTTAATTTTCCATTGCGTTATTTCCTTCTTTTTACCCGTTATTCTTTTAAATTTAAGTTCACATTTCATCATTACTAGATTGTGGTCGCTATCTATATCCGCTCCTGGGTAACTTCTACTTTCCTTTACTTGATTTTTTAAATCTGTTCTTAACCATGATGTAATCTATTTGATACCTATTTATGTCTCCAGGCATTTTCCACGTGTATCTTCTCCTTCGATGGTGATCGAAGCAGGTGTTTGTGATTATTAAGTTATGTTTTGCACAAAATTCTAATAATCGTTCTCCTCTTTCATTTCGCTTTCCCAGCCCATAGGCGCCTGTTACGTTATTGACTTTTTTCTTCCCCTACAACGGCATTCCAATCACCCATTACTACTAGATTCTCTTCACCTTTAACATTTTTGATTATTTTATCTATATTCTCGTATACTTCTTCCACTTCTTCATCGTTACTATTTGATGTCGGCATATACACTTGAACTACTATTGTGTCTTTCGGTTTCGTCTGGAACTTGACTAGAATGATTCTATCGTCATATTGTATATAGCCTTTAACTTTTTTTCCTAAAGTTTTATTCATTATAAACCCTACTCCTCCTGTGCCAGGTTTCTTCTCTGATGCACCTGTATATATTATTCTATAGTCTCCGCTCCAAAAGTCTCCTGATTTTGGCCATCTCATTTCTGATATTCCCAAAATATCTACTTTCATTTTGTCCATTTCTATTTTCAGATTCTCCAGTTTCCCACATTGTAATAAAGTCCTTACATTCCAAGTTGCTATTCGTTTATATTCCTTCGCATCCCTAACACCCTTAACATTTCTTACCTCTCTTGTAGTCCCCACCCGGAGATCCGAACGGGGGACTATTTTACCTCCGGAATTTTTTACTTGAGAAGTAGACATGTTGATTGCTGTTACTTGGGATATTAATACGGTGGTTTCCCGTTGCCTTCCGTATCGCAGTACAGCCACCATTTGTTGGCTGCTGGCTGATGTGTAGCTGATAGGCCTACACCCAGTATTGTAGTAGCTGCTGCCCTACTACAAGTCCCTTTTAGTCGCCTTTTACGACAGGCAGGAACAACCGATGGTCTATTCTAACCCCGACCAACAGGGAAACATTTTGAAGTAGACCAAACAATTTATCTTTACATATTTCATAAT